AGAAAAGCAGAAACGACTTCGCTTTGAGGTTTGCTTATCAGGCGTAGATAGGTTCAAATCCTCCTCGTTCTTTTAAACAGGAGTAGAGGTTTAACTCTTGTTTCCTGTTTAGGACTGGATTTCTAGTTTCTTCTAAAGTCTAATTCAACTCTATACTTCTAACGTCTTCGCCTGAATTCAGAGATTTTATTTACTAATTGTTTTATATTTTTCTCCTCAATAGGAGTAGATAGGTGCACCTATCGTCCGGTTCACACTCCTCCTCGGTTTTTTGAACGAGAGTGGATATTTATCTCTTGTTCACTATTTAGGGTTGGGTTTCCGGTTTCTTCTAATCTTTTTTCATTCTCTTTTATTCCCAATAAACCCTTTCATCTAAGTGGCATTATCGGGGGAATTGATTAAAAATAAGTACGTATTTGCAAGAGCAAGGAATCGTTTTTGAAATATCAAAACTAGAATTTATTTTCATTAAAAAGAAATGTTAAAATATGAAGCTTTAATGAACTGTCAGAATCTGACATTTAATGTGGCACAAACTGATTTTTGCTTAATTTGCGTATGCATCGGCGGTTGCTTGCACACATATATGTACGCATATATACATATACAGGCTGGTGCAAATATGAATATTTATTTGTATTTCCCTGCAAGATTGGATTAGACCGTCGGAAGAAAGCCATAAAAATACTCCTACATCAAGAGGAGTATCAGGAGGAGCAGTAGCCTTTGCTGACAAACAGTCATTCACGGTTAAACATTCTCTTTTATTTTTCTATTCTATATTGTTTTCCTCTGTACCAAAAGGTAAAAAAGTTGTTTTTAAACCAATTCCCATTTTCTACTGTTGTTTTGATAACTCAGTTACAACATTATTATATTCTGTTGTTCTCGAGCCGAGCACAACACACACACACACACACATATATATATATATATATCCGTTTAGGTGAAACCTAGGTAGGTTAGAATTATCTTAGGTTTTGCTCTACTTAGTGTATTGAGCACTTTACGTAGTTGTCTTTTTACTCGTTTTGGGATTTTTTTCTTTGGACTTGGAGCTTAAACACTGGACGATTGTTTTCGCCTTGGTTTAATGTTCTTGGTTCATTCTTTTTTTTTTATTCCCCATTTTTCCTTGGGTACCGATTTGTTCTACTGCAAGTCGAACTATCCAAGCTTTTTCCAAGCGAGTACTACCATTTATATATATATATATATATATATATATATATATATATATCGAGAGAGCGAGAGAGAGAGAGAGCGTTGGTAACCATGACCTGAGGGAATACAATCAATAGTATTGAAACATGAAAGCTTTTTGTGTAGCGATGTAAAATGTTTTTATTATAATCTCATAATATATATATATATATATATATATATATATATATATATATATATATATATATATATATATATGATTTGTTGCTCATTTTTCGAGCACGCCGGCAAGGGCGGGTAGGTCATACTTAAAACAGACACCTGATAATTTATTGCTTCTATTTCGAGAATAGTATTGTGTGAATTGACGTTTATGTGTGTGTGTGTGTGTGTGTGTGTGCGTGTGTGTGTGTATTTTCAATTTTATATGTATGTATTTGCGTACATCTTAATAGGTAGATATTAATTCTAATAACATATTTGTATGTACCTATGTATATCTGTGTAAATGTGGATGTATCGAGAGTTTGAGAGTTCTGACCTTGTACAACAGGTGATCAATACCAAATTATGCACTCTCGCTGATAAACTGTAACTAACGTCTGTTATGCATGCTAGCAACGAAAACCAAAGGTGGGCTCTGTGGGAGTCGAATAAATATATAATAAATGTGCCTGAGCAGGTGTCTGCATCAGGGATTGTTTAGCCACCCAATTAGACAGTTATAATTGGATACGGCCGGCCAACCATTATAACTGGTAAAGTTTTTTATAACTTTCTAAGATAACATTTACGAATATTACTCTCTCTCTCTCACTCTCTCTCTCTCTCTCTCTCTCTTTTTATATATACATATAGGTGTCCATAAAGTTCGTGTGCACTTTACAAAAATTATAAATTTATTTGTATTTGCGATAGAAATAATCTGTAAAAAATGTTATAATACAGCGTTTCAAAAAGATGGAACTCCTTGTCACTTTGCTCCGCGTGTTAAAGAATTTCTAAATCAGAAATTTCCTAACAGATGGATCGGAAGGGGGTGGACCATTTTATTGGCCTCCGTGTTCGTCAGATTTGACTCCATTAGAATTTTTTATGGGGACATGTGAAAACAATTGTGTATGCAACCAAACCTAGTTCATTAGAAGATTTGAAAGCTAAAATAACTAATGTGATTTCAGGCATTACTGTAAATCAGTTGGTAAATGTTTTCCGTGAAATGTAAAATCGTTTTACATTTTGTATTGCTAATGATGGAGAACATGTGGAAACTTGAATAAAAATTTCAATAAAACATTAAAACATATAGATTTACTTCTTTCTAATCTTTTTTACAAATTATTTCTATCGCAAATAGAAATAAAGTTATAATTTTTAAAGTGCACACGAACTTTATGAACACACTGTATATATATATATATATATATATATATATATATATATATATATATATATATATGCGTGTGTACGCGCGTGTGTTTTGTGTGTAGGAGATACCGACAAGAACATGAGCTGACGCGTGAAGATGCGATAATGTAAAAACAAAACCCACGTAATCTACTGAAGGTATATATAAATTAGTATATGCATTCTGGTCACGTTTTAGACGTAAAACTACTTGGCATAATGAAATATGACATATATATATATATATATATATATATATATATTCTGCGCATTTCTGTTAAATATGACTTTTTCACAATCAAATATGATTTAGAATTCGACGGAATGATAGGATAAGGAACAAATGTTTATACATTTAAGATGTTTCCCTTTTTGTTTAAGATTAATCAGATAATGAAATCTGGAGAAGAAAAGAAAAGTATGATATTTTTTATTTTTGTCTTGTTTGCTTTTCATTTGTTAAGAGAACCTCACGTCTATTTGTCCTGTCAGGCAGTGTTCGTACGTATAATTCTTGTCTGTTTGGGTATTACATTTCTAGTTGGTCTATGCTAGTTTTGGTTAAAAATGAGTCTGTGTTTATCTGCGTTTGAGCGTCTAGTGAATAAGTTT